CGCACAACCAGCTCCCATCACTCGGGGCTTCACACACACGACATGCATAGACAAAGCAGCAATGGAGATAAAAGCGAGTCCTTCTTGTACACAAAAATTTCAATTAACTGCCACCCCCAGGCGCAGCCTTCAAAACCTCCCAAGACCACCGACCACCATAGCCACAAGGCCCTGCCGCGGCCGACGTCAACTCCCCACCACTGCTCAGTCCCTCCGACCGCGTCGCCCCGAGACTACCGCGGGTCCACCCCACGTCGTCACTCCGCCCGTCCTTGGGCTTGTCGAGCCTGTTCGGCGCCGCGGACTTTCGCGCATAGCTCGCGCAGCATTGCAGCCGAGATCAAAGAGGAAGAGAGGAGAGGGTTGCGCAAACTTATAGCGCGGGAGGCGGCGGGTTGTCAGCGTGAGGTGCGGGCAGCGCAGGTTGTAGATGAGCAGGACAGGAGGAAGGTGGGGAGTTAGAGGGTTCGACCCGCGGGATGGCATGGTCCTACGTGATTGGGCTGTCCGTTCAAGTGGCGCGCGGTTTCCCGCTCTCCACATTGATCCGAGCATCCCAACTACCCGGCCAATCACTTCGCGGGGATAGGATCGAGCTGGGCGGAGGGGGAGACGAAGAGTCCGGCATGGGGAAAATGGGCGCAGCAAGAAGGGAAGATGGCGCGGGGATGCAAAGCAAGAAACGGGGATGCGCGACGCGCGAAGAGATCGGAGCTTGGGCGTGTGCGCGCAAAAATTCAAAAAGTCCCAACCGCCCCCGTTTCTTGGTTTTCATACCGTGGCCGCTATTCGCCCGCGCGGGAGTTGTTAACCAAACAAAATGAAAAAGCTGTTTCAAAAAGAAAACAAAAGCAGAAAGAAAGAAAAACCCCTTTCTGTCCGTGTCCGTACTTCGGGGCTTATGTGGGATTTTTCCTCAGGGATACGGGAAGCCGCGCGGTACGGATCTGAGCTTATCACATCTCACCATAAGACACAGACAGCTGAACCAGGTCGTGATGGCGATAAATGGGGACCGACTGGACTGCTCTGCCTTCAAGGATCATGCATGACGAGGGTGTGTGCTGGAAGGGGCTGGAGGGTGTAGGGTTTAAGGGGTCAAAGGACATAATAGATTAGGCACGGGGGACTGCACACCAGGGCTGGGCTAACAACTACGGGGTGCTCTACGAAGGGAGGGAAATCATTAGCAGCTCCATGGGACAAAGGAGACCCGAGTCCAAAAAAAGGAGATAGCCCACAACCGCAAGAAACAAGAAAAAAGGGGGGGTTGCAAACACCGGGGATAGGAGTTCAGGCACTCGTACCTGAGGAACGTTAACATAAAGCAAGGCGGACACCGTCCTGGGTAGGGCTAGGCCAGCAGGAAGTAGAGACTCTGTATTTTGGAAGGGTGACATAAGCAGCCCCGAGGGAGAGAGAGATGCTCTGGAACAAGAACTCAGATGGCCAAATGCCCAACAAACATTACACTACAATGATGTATCCAAGCCTCCAAGGGACGCTGGACCCGATTTCCAGCAGGTGCTGCTCCCCACCAATAGATGGAGCCTCCCCGGCGGTGCTAGAGGTGTCAGATCATATCAGCATACCTAGCATCCGACCAGGTTGTTCTCATTTAAAAAAAAAAA